AAACTATGTAATAATCAGAACTAAACAAAGTAAAAATGTTACAGATGTCTTATTCCAATTTTGAGTATAACATTTATAAACTTTCAGATATTACTGGAAGTACTTAAATCGACCTTTGGGTCAAGTGTTTTAGTCTTCTAGAGAAGAAAATATGAAAATAGGAAAAGATAACAGAGCATATCATTTTAATCATAATTACACAATGCTTGATAAGAAATGGAAAATTGAAAAGAAAATATAGGAGCTTGGAATGTAGGAGTAGAGAAAATGTCTTAGTTTCCATACAATCCAGACTTAATGATAGATATCTTGGAATAGCTGTTTTATGCCGTATTTGCAGAATGTCTCCTCTGTGCTGTAACATGTTGATACCACCTAACGATGGTTGAGTTGCAGAAGCATCTGGATCTTTATCTATACACCGAAACATAAGAAAAGTGTTGGCCCATCTTATTGTCCTTTGCTCTTTTTTTAAATATTAAAAACATATACAGAGGGGAGGAAAAGGGGAGATTCCAGTGCATGTTGGCATCAGCAAATCCTTAGCTTTACAAGTTTAAATGTAGGCTGGTTTGCCATGTGCTCAAATGCAAAAAGAAATAAAAGAAATTAAAGATATTTCATTATGTCCTGACAATGTATTGTTGAGATTGTTCTTTAAAAGGTGAAGTGTGATTGGAAACATATTGCTTTTAGCTTTCAGAGGATGAACTTCCCCATCCCATAAAATTAAGAGGAAACCAAACCAAAACACAAGATATAAGATTTTCAACATTTACCAATTTGCTTTTGTCTCAGAGCGCTTAGTATATGAATTTTAAGATTTTCTGAAAATGAAATTACCTAAAATTTAAAAACAAGCAATTTCTGTGAAGGAAAGGGGATAATTAAAAATTATTTTTTTAAGATTAGCTATGAAACCATAGTATCTTTTAAATGACTTGGGATAATATACTTTCTATGTTAACAGTTTAGATTGCACAAATGAAAGAGTGGAACATTTAAACATTCTTACACAAAAGCTGATATACTGAGATGGGAATACTCCCTTAACACAAACATGTGAGAAAAGCAGAATCCAGAGAAAATGGTCAGGGGAACACAGGCAGAATTGCTTCCTACAGAGAAAGCAACTGTTGAGCAATCCTAATACTAATGAGTACATTAGTATTACTTTTTACCAAATCAGAAGATAAATAAATAACATATTTAATCATGCAAATAATCTACTAAAATATGAATATATTAGTTTTCTTTGTCTGTTAAAATGAATTGCCACATATTTTATGGCTTACAATGACAAAACATTTATTTTCTCACATTTCTGGAATGCCAGAAATCTAAAAATGTTATCTCTGGGCTGAAATCAAGTTGTAGGCAAAACTGCACTTTATTCAGAGACCGTAGGGGAGAATTTGTTTCTTGATGTTCCCAGCTTGCAGTGGCTGCTGACATTCCTTGGCTCATGGCCACATTACAGCAGTGGTGAAGGCCCATCTCTTCAGATCTCTCTCTGCTCTGCCTTTACCTCACTTTCTCCTCTGTGCTGGGTCTGTGTCAAATCTGCCTCTGCTTCTTTTATGAGAATATTTATAACTGACAGATTACCTGTATAATCCAGTACAATCCCCACATCTCAAAATTCGAAATCATATCTTAGAAAACCATTTTTATTAATAAGGCAATATTTATACAATCTGAAAATTAGAAAGTGGAACTACAATGGCACCTATGCCTAAAACAGTAACTCAGATATTCAGAAGGCTTCTGATCATGATAATATGAGGCATGATAACAATTAAATCTCTGGGTCTAAACCAGGAGAGTAGGAGTCATTTTTTTAAAACAAAAACAAGATAGTTTAAAATCTGCCTCTACAGGTCAGATAACTAAAGAGAAATTGTAGATTTGAAAGGAAATGCATGATAGATAGGCCTCATAAAGAAAAAGAAACCAAAAATAGAGGAGACAACACAACACTAAAAATGAAACAAATAAGAGTTAAACAGTGAACGTAATCTGAGAAAAATAACTCAGATTTAACAACATGTGTCATTAGGCCATTCTTGCCTTGCTATAAAGGAAACTTGAGGCTGGAAAATTTATAAAAAGAGTTTTAATTGGCTTACAGCTCTGTAGGCTTTACAGGAAGCATAGCACTAGCAACTGCTTCTGGTGATGCCTCAGCAACCTTACAGTCATGGCAGAAGGTGACAGGGAACAGGCATGTCACATAGTAAGGGTGGGAGCAAGAGAGAGGTGGGGAGGTGCCACACACCTTTAAGCCATCAGCTTACATGGGAACTCGCTCATTATCCAGAGTATGGCACTAAGTCATTCATGAGGGCTCTGTCTTCATGATTCAAACACCTCCCATCAGGCCCCACCTCCAACACTGGGAATTACATTTCAATATGAGATTTAGAGGGGAAAAATATCTAAATCATATCATAAGTCTAGACTATGTTTTAAGTGAGATAGATCAGCACTTTCTATAGAATAGATGCACAGGAAATAAGTGCAGAGGACGTTTTGAAGCCCTTTTCAGCATACATGCAAAGACATATATATGTGTGTGTGTGTGTGCACATGCATGTGTATATATTAGGTCTTTGCACATATCCTATTTCAATAATTGAATCAAACTTGTTGGAAAAAGCATAAACAGAGAGTATGTAGAAGAAACAACTGTACTCTGTGGTGGAGATTATGATAAATAAACCAGAGCAGTTGTGGCATTGAGCACAATGACTCTCCTCACACGGGGCACCAGCTGTGGCATTGATCTCCTTACACAGGGAACCAGCTGTAGTGTCAGTCACATCAGGGTCACTACCTGAGACGTTGATCACCACCCACAGAACTCTGTCCTGCAAACCTTGACTCAGTGATGGATGAATAAATGCACTCACACACACCAGAATACAGTGAATTGAGTGGGCTAGGGATGGTCAACTACTTTCATAGAGCGATTGCAGCTAACCAACCACCACTCACTGCTCCTTTCACATTTATTTAGTATAGATTTTACAACAGAGGTTCTAAGTCAGCATGCTTGTGGATAATTAACATGGTTAAGAGTGGTTTTACAAATGGCAAAAGATTTTGGTTCCAGGGACCCTGAATGAACACCATTAACAGGTAATTTCCCTTCGACCTCCTCCTGAGAGGACCATCCAGCACAAAGTTAACATGAGTAAACAGAGTAGAGACAAAGGGATGTCGGGTAAACAGACCTAACTACGGAAGTTTTTATTATGCTTAATCTTCATCCTATGACTTAATGTTCTAACCTAAGAACTGGCTGCCTTCAGCCCATTCCATAACTTAATAAAAACCTTTAGGCCTTTCAAAAAGTTTGAGACTATAATCTTATAACGTCCCTAATATTTCCCTTAATATTTTGCCAGCCACCCTGAGAGAATCCCAACAAACAGTGATCTGTGGACACAATTACTGACATTAGATTGTTCTACATACCAGTTTGCTGCTTCTCACACTGGTGACTTTAGGAACAAGTTACAGATTCCCTTATTGTTTCCAAGTACCAATACACTCTTTCTTCTTCCAGTAGGGCCCCGATTGAGAGCTAGTCTTTTGTTATATAATAGGAAAAGCATGGCCTTTGGAATTAATCTTGTTTATGAAAACTGGCCTTGTTGATTCACTTTCAAACTGTCCATGGACAATTTTCTCAACCCACATTATGATTTTGTAAAGATAAAAGGCAATCATTTGTTTGAAAAATGTATAAACACTTAGTATACTACTGTTAATTTTCATTTTCTTTTTCCTTTGCCAAGAGCCTACTCATCCCTTACCATAAACATCCAGATCTCATTTAGAATATTAATAAAAATAGAGTTTTTATTCTGCCTTACATAAGTCAGCAAGGGTATGAGACTGCTACCTATAGACAGAGGCCTGCATGAATTTCTGCCATTAACTGTTTCCATGATTCCCACATGACTTGGCACACCATTTTATTTGATGATTACTTGAATTTTGCTAGAAACTTAACTTTCTTCAGACAATCCTTTTATTTTTTCCCTTGGATATTCCATCTAATCAGTTCCCTAAGCTCACTGTTGTATACTTAGGCAAGTCTTTCCAAGAGGTCTTTTCTGCTGACTGAAACTCTCCAAAGAGAGGATTATACTATGAATGGTTCTGAATCAGTTTTGACCACTGAGCCTAGAAGAAAAAGTAAATCTTTGGTGATTTAGTGAGTTAGAGTTGACAACGTTGAGTGTAGACTGGTATAAGTAGGCAGACTGAATAGATTATGTAAAGTCTAAAGGGATGAGGATTATAATCAGTTCACTATGTCTGTACCACACAAAAAGCAAGATTAGAGAGTAGTAAGAGATGAAGTTGGAAAAATCATGATGAGGATAATAGCAATTTTAAGAATTGGGATATTCTCCCAAAGGGAATTGCATATTTGCAACTTTAGGCAGGAATTAATCAGATGAACTTGGTGCATTAGGTGAATTATTTTGTCCTGAGCACAAAGTATAGATAACTGAAGGCAAGACTACAGATGGAAAGAACGTTTATATAACTTTTTTATTAATATAGCTGCATCAGAAAGGTTGCACAAACTAAATTATTGATTGTATAGTTGTAGAGAAGTAAACTGATTTGAAACAGAATTATGAAAATTGGTGAAAATTATTTTAAACTTCCTAATATGTTCTAAAGGGAGTTAAAAATAACTTGTTTTAAATTATCCATAATTTTGGCTAAATCTGACAATCATGTGCCAAAAGATTTATTTATTTATTTATTTTACTAGATTTACTTTACTATTTGGAAGTCACACAAAGCCCTAAGAGTCATTGTTCTATTAAGTTTAGCTTAAGCTGGAGTTTATGTTTGTCCTGTTAGACCTCTAAGTTCTTATGGAAATTAAATACAATCTATATGGTAATTCCTTGACAGACATGCTATGTGAAATGGGCACATTTATTTATCTGTTTTTAGTTGTTCAATTTTTTTTTTTTTTATTTCAAGGCACATTTAATTTAATATCGAGAGTGCAATACAAAAGGCCCAAATACAATGAAGGAACACATTCCCCCATTAACACCAACGACAATGCTCTTTTAAACATGTGCCTGTTGAATGGAATGGGGATTTCATAAAATTCACTAAAAAAATAATGCAGTGAGTCTCATCACAACTAACATCCTTATACAATCTAGTTGTGAAATGAATGTTTATAATGCTTCAAACAATTTAAACCTGAAGTTTGATACCACACCTTCATGTTTTGTACAGTCCTCAGTAAGATTATCTACAGTTTTTGCAATCATTCAAGGAACAAACCATTGAATAAAACCACATTGATTTAAGGCTCAATCAAGTACTATAGAGCCCCAAACTAAATGGTTAAATATATGTGCTACTTGTACGGACATCTATTGATTCTCTCATGACTATTAAAAGTTGGTTCTCAGCAAATAAACCCTTTAAAGGCAAAATTCACCTCATTTGAGTTTTGACCCAGAAGTTCAACAACAATCATGAAGTCCACAGTCTTATTGGCAAAACTGATATGCAGTGTCTCTAAGTCACTGTACTCAAGGTTAAGAGCGATGCATATTCCATTTTTACATTTTACTGGAATTTTACATGTTCAATTCATGACTTAAAATCTCTAGGTTTTCATTCCTTCAAACTGTCTGAAGACACAGTGTGCCACAGACTTAAGACTTCTGTTTCTCCCTCTATTTTCTTCAAAAAGAAACATTTCTCAAGTGTCTACATGTTCTAGAAGGGGAATTTTTCGGAGGTGGCCACTTCTTCGGAATAGTCCGACGCCATCAGGCCTCTGAAGCAAGGGGAAGGGGAAGAGAAAAAGCTGAAACACAAGGTTCATCTGGTAAGTTTTACATTAACCATTACAAGCTGGACAGTGTAAGAATGTGGCTTTTTTTTTTTTTTTTTGGCTCAAAAAGTCTGAGTCTTGGTGTGGAAACGAGTACTTGGCTGTCCCACCACAGCTTTCTCGTAGTGGGACTGTCAGGGAAGTCTTGACTGGGGAGTATGATTTGTTTACCTATCAGGCGTAAACTTCCAGGCACTCAGTTCATTTTGGGCTTGTTCCAGTTTGTCTTTAGTCTGTTCCAGTTCACCTTTCATTTTTAGGAAAAACAAGTTGATCGCTGGGTCTACCATTGTTGATTTCAGTTGGGCAACGCTCGGCTGCTGGACTTGCTTGAGGTACTGGATTTGAGTAGTACACTCTTGCATCTCTTGTTCCTTGGTTGCTAGTCGCATTACAAGGATGTTTTCCCTGCGTGCAGACTCCTGCTGTTGCTGCTTTAGTTTTTCTTCGGACTCTCTTAGGCCAGTTACATCATTAGAGTTAAGATCTGTGTACTTGCCCTCCAAAGCTTGTACATATGCTTCATATTGTTTCCATCGTAGAATTAACTCATCTCTCGCCATAACTTTGAAGTCTGTTTCACTCAGTCGAACCTTTTTGGGAAGAGGTTCTTCGTTGGTCATCTTGAATCCTCTCCTGACGGAAGCCGCGCCGGCACCGCCAGTCGCGGAGGCCGAGGCCGCGGCCGCGCTGCTCGCCCCGCCGCCCGGGCCTCCCGGGCCGCCGCGCAGCCGGAGCGCTCTGCCGCCGGCTCCGCCGCGCTCCTAGTCCCGCCACAACCCCAGCGCTCCCCTTTAGTTGTTCAATGTTATACACACTTAGCTTTTCTGGTCCAAGAGTGATAATGACTTCTGGAGTCTGCAATATAAATCTACACAAAGAAAAATTTTAAGTGTTTTAAAGTAGCTCTAGTTATTTCTTTATGACTTGTTTAATCTCCTGCCTAAAATGAAATATCTTTCAAACAGGTATTGTATTAATATGACATTTTGGCATGTGTATATTCTCATTTTCTCTCACCTGACATATTCTATTCTATTTAAAAATCAAAACATGTCTCCAAAACGCTCCGTATCTTAGGTTCAGTCATTGATTAATGTAAAGTTTTTTTCTTTTTCTATTGCTCATCATTGACAAGAACAGTCAGATAACTTTAAAATATCATAGTTAATAAAGTTCACCCTGAAATTTCAAAGAATAAGGGATCAGCTGGACAAAATAAAAAAATTTAACTATTCTCTAATACTGGTCAAAGATTTTTAAAACAGGTAGAAAGCCAGTTATTTCAATAACAACCAATTTAGATGAAAAAACAGGGAGATGCAAATTCCAGCCAACAGCCTGGGATGGATCTGTCTAAAGTGAGTTTGTGAGTGTAGAGTCTGAGCAACTTCAGCAAAGTTTCAAAATTTAAAAAATCAAAGTGCAAAAGTCACTAACTTTCTTATACACCAACAATAGTTAAGCCAAGAGCCAAACTGGGAACATAATCAAATTCACAATTGCTACACAAAACTAAAATACCTAGTAATACAACTTACCAAGGAAGTGAAAGATCTCTACAAAGAGTACCACAAAACATGGCTCAAAGAAACTGGAGATGACACAAATAGAAAAACATTGCATGTTCATGGATAGGAAGAATCAATATCATTAAAATGGCCATATTGCCAAAAGCAAATTACACATTCAATGTTATTCCTATTAAACTAGCCTTGACATTCTTAACAAAACTGCAAAAGCTGTTGTGAAATATATGTGGAATTGAAAAGAGCCTCAATAGCCAAGGCAATCATAAGTAAAGAGAACAAAGCTTGAGGCACCGCACTACCCAACTTTAAACTATACTGCAGGGCTACAGTAATCAAAACAGCATGGTGTTGGTATAAAAACAGACACATAGATCAATGGAACAGAATAGAGAACCCAGAAATAAGGCTGCATACTTACAACTATGTCCTCTTCAACAAGACTGATCAAACAACAACAACAAAAAAACAATGAGGAAAGAATTTTCTATTCAATAAGTAGTGCTGGGATAACTGGCTAGCCATCTGCAGAAGATGGAAACTGGACCCCTTCCTTATACTATATAGAAAAAAATTAACTCAGGATGGATGAAAGATTTAACTCTAAACCCAAAATTACAAAAGCCCTGAAGAGAACCTAAGCAATACCATTTAGGACATAGCCGTGGACAAATATTTCATGATGAAGATGCCAAAAGCAATTACAATGAAAGCAAAAATTAACAAATGTGATCTAATTAAAGAGTTTGTGCACAGCAAAAGAAACTATCAACAGACAGACTACAGAATGGAAGAAAATTTTTGCTAATTATATATCTGACAAAGGTCTAATATCCAGCATCTATAAGAGACTTAAACAAATTTACAAGAAAAGCAAAAGCAACCCCATTAAAAAGTGGGCAAAGGACATGAACAGACACTTTTCAATAGAAGACATATGTGTGGCCAACAATTATATGAAAAAAGATCAACATCACTGATCATTAGAGAAATGCAAATCAAAACCACAATGGGATATCATCTCATACCAGTCAGAATGGCTATTACTAAAAAGTAAAAAATAACAGATGCTGGCAAAGTTGTGGAGAAAAAAAAAAACAAAAAAACACTTACACATGATTTGTGGGAATGTAAATTAGTTCAGCCATGTGGAAGAGATTGTAATGATTTCTCAGAGACCTAAAGATAGAAATACCATTCGACCCTGCAATACCATTACTGGTTATATACCCAAAGCAGTGTAAGTCATTATAAAAACACATGCACATGTATGTTTATTGCAGCATTATTCACAATAGCAAAGACATAAAATCAACATCAATGCCCATAAATGGTAGATTGGATAAAGAAAATATGGTACATACACAATAGAATACTATGCAGCCATAAATAAAATTAGATCACGGCTTTTGCAGGAAGATAGAAGGAGCTGGAAGTCATTATCCTTACCAAACTAACACAGTAACAGAAAACCAAGTATGGCTTGTTCTCACTTATAAGTTGGAGCTAAATGATGAGAACACATGGATGCATAAGAAGAAACAACTCACACTGGAGCCTTTTGGAGAGTGGAGTTTGGGAGGACAGAAAGACCAAGAAAAATAATGAGGCCTAGACTTAATACCTGGGTAATGAAATAATCTATACAACAAACCCCCATGACACACGTTTACCTATGTAACAAACCTGCACTTATACCGCTGAACTTAAAATAGTTAAAAAAAAATTTTTTTTTAAGCCAACAATTGATATTAGTAGTAGAATTTGCTAGAACAACCCTGACTCACTGAAACAAGACAAAATTGTTGGTTAGAAAAAGGAAGGTTGTTGAAACGTGTAATGAACTTTTGATGCCTGGATGCTTATTAAATGCCCCATAGTATGAAACAGCAGCTGTGCTGCAGTTAGTTATAAAACATACAAATTGCCAATAAAATTTTAAAATGGTAGACCCAACTCCCAAAAATTTCACTTACTGGGTACATAATAAAATGCAAACAAAAATAAGGAACTAGCTAAATACACAAGCTTTGTTCATTTATATATTAATAGTTTGTATTTTGTCCAGTCCCATCTGCTGCTGCTAGTCTATAAGCTGCTACCAAAGGATAAAACTGCTGAAAAGCCATAAAATCTCTATGGCTGCTGGTTGCCAAAAGGGTAGTCCAGGAAGTCAGGATAACCAAGAAACTACTGAATCCCAGGGTACACTATAAACAGCTTGTCTCATTTTGTGAAGCGATATCATCAGATTTCTGGAAAATGCTTACTCAAATGGATTGTGAAAGATTTTGAAGTCTCCTTTGTTTTGATTGCTGCAAAGGGGAAGAGTATGCTGTGTTGATGCAGGGCCCACAGCTTATTATTGGATAATAACAAATGAATTAATGTGCATTATCCAAACACCCAACAGAGTGTTCTTACAGTACAGCTAGCCTGTTGGACTGGATAAAAGCTGTTGTAACGTCTTGAGAAAATAAATTGTTCTTCTCTTTTAAAAGCCAAATGGAACTTCCTATTTGAAGTGGCTGATGTGCAGCATATACAAGAAACACTGGTTTTCAGAATGCTCATTTATTTAATACGGACCTTACCTGCATCATGGTAAACACTATGATTAAGGATCCCATTTTATATATAAACTTAGTGCTGCAAAATCAAGCAACAATTTAAGAAGACATATCAGATTTGTTGTCCCAGCTTTTCCTTATTGTCTTACAAATGCAAAAAAAAAAAAAAAAAAAAAAAAAAAAAAAAAAAAAAAAAAAAGAAAGAAAGGAGTAGGTCACAAAGGAATTAAAAAACAGAAAAAAAAGAGCATGTTTATGGGATTTGTCACAGCATGGAAAGCGTCTTTAAATAACTATTAAAGTTAAGAGGTGAATAAAGTCAACATCGCCAAAGTAAACACCAGGCTATAATGCAGTATAATTGCAATTTGGCGAACCAATGAGAACTCCTGCTTTTCCTCCAGCATCAAGAAACCATAAGCAGCGGGCCGGGCGCGGTGGCTCAAGCCTGTAATCCCAGCACTTTGGGAGGCCGAGGCAGGTGGATCACGAGGTGAAAAGATCGAGACCATCCTGGTCAACATGGTGAAACCCCGTCTCTACTAAAAATACAAAAAATTAGCTGGGCATGGTGGCGCGTACCTGTAATCCCAGCTACTCAGGAGGCTGAGTCAGGAGAATTGCCTGAACCCAGGAAGCGGAGGTTGCGGTGAGCCGAGATCGCGCCACTACACTCCAGCCTGGGTAACGAGTGAAACTCCGTCTCAAAAAAAAAAAAAGAAAGAAAGAAAGAAAGAAACCAAGAAACCACAAGCAAAAGCAAATCTACTATATTTATCCTAGTTTGCAGAAACTTAAAAAAGAGAAACTAAAAAGCAAAGGTATTAAAGAGAAACCTGAGCTTGAATGGCTGAGAATGATTGCTGCCAAAATTAATTTGGGTGAAGATTGACAAAAGATCCAGGATCTCCTTGCCTGACCCCCAGTTGGAGACCCACGGACTTCAGGGCATGTGCATATATGTGGATAAAATAGCCATTACCATTACCATATCCATGTGGAAATAAAAACTTTCTGGGGCTCCTTGCCACAGTACATTTACTGTAATTTCAACACTTGTTGAAGTTCCAAATGGGACAATAATTAGGATGAAAGCATATAAAAATGAAAATGTTATGAGTTTTGTATAAAATTGGAATATTTTAACAAACTTTATGTGAGGTGGTTGTGCTTCCTTTACTTGAATGTATTATGCAATGGATATTATGTCTAATTTAGAAACACTTCCCTTACCTAGTTTTATAAAGTGGAAGGCATATAAATTTGTCCTTTTGCCAGTATTAATTGGACATGCAAAATGGAAACCTATGAATTTGCCTGATCCCACACAGCCTGTTAATATGAAATAGTATCAGATAGCTAGTAAAGCCAAAGGCATTACCGCTTGTCATCACCACTGTTAACTGTGAATGTTTTGAATTATTTAGAAATAGGGTCTTTGCACATGTAATCATACTGGACACTAATATGATTAATAAAATCATATTGGTACCCTTATAAGAAGAGAAATATCTTTTTATTCTTCTTATTATTTTGAGATGCAGTCTTACTCTGTTGCCCAGGCTGGAGTGCAATGGCACAATCTTGGCTCACTGCAGTCATCTCCGCCTCCCTAGTTTAAGCGATTCTCCTGTCTCAGCCTCCCAGTAGGTGAGATTACAGGCACCTGCCATCACACCGGCTAATTTTTGT